CATGGCTATATTCTGTTACCCATATGGTGAAAGCTCAGCTTGCAAGCATGTAAGTAGAAATGATCAAGCAAAGAGGCTAAATATTAACATTTTTTGTTTGTTTCTCTAGGGAACTATTCCTGGGGCATTTATCCAGATTCTGGTTCAGATTCTCTTTCATGGCTATATTCTGTTACCCATATGGTGAAAGCTCAGCTTGCAAGCATGTAAGTAGAAATGATCAAGCAAAGAGGCTAAATATTAACATTTTTTGTTTGTTTCTCTAGGGAACTATTCCTGGGGCATTTATCCAGATTCTGGTTCAGATTCTCTAGTGGAGAACAGGCCACTGAGCAATTCAGTAAATTCTGAACCTTCATCTGATGATGGACAGATGCAGCTAACTGTACTAGAACTAACAATGGCACTGGGTAGCCTGAAGAACATTTTCACTCCACTCTTGTTCCGAGGACTCTTGTCCTTTCTCACCTGGTGGATTGCTGCTTGTCTCTTTTCTACAAGCCTTTTTGGGCTGTTCTATCATCAGTACCTGACAATGGCATGACCCAACGAAGATTTAAAGACAGACATTTAGAAGCCTGTGTGCCCCAAAAGAGGCAGAATAAAATGAGAGGAAACACAACAAAGAGAAAAACGTATCCGTTTTTTCTTTAAATGCTTCCTTGGAACTTGGAGTTCTCGGGCAAATATTGTTGGAAAATGTTGGAGATCACAAGGGAGTTTTATAACTTGTTACCTTAATTGGTAGGTAACTGCTGAATTATTAATGTTGGTTGGTGTTGGTGAGTTGCTTTGAAATATGTCCAAGGACTTTCGTTTTCATTAGCTCCATGTTGCCCTGAAGATACTTGTGTATTCAGTCACTGATTGGCTGACCTTAGTGGTGTTAAGGTACTAGGGTGGTAATAATGGCAACAGCTTAGAAAATGAACTTGTGACTGAGCCATACAAAGAGTGGAGAAAATCATCCTGTTGGGAGGAAAACTGTGGCTGACTGTTCTACTTATGAGCAAATGAATCCAACAGGACAAAACAAATACTGTATATTACAGTAAAGAAAGCTGTGTGGAATAAAGATGATTATAATTCAAAATGCATGGACTCGGCAGGTATTCATGCCAAAGGACTTATTTACATGTTACAGTTAAGGGTACCCGAGTGCAATATTGTGTCACTTGATATGGATGAATGTTCAGGGGTGCGTAGTTACTGTAGATGAAGAACTCTCTCCCTCTTTGAGCACACATACTTGAAACAAGCCCTTCACATGTTAGGGTATCATAAAGTAGTAAGGTCTGAATTTTTTTACGGTAACTTATTGGTCTACCCCTCACTCCTGCACATTCATGCATTAAAGTATACAATATGCTACGGCTTCCTTTTCCTGAGGCATTATACCCCATAATGTAATGTGTCTGGAAGTCCTAAGAGAAGAATTTTCATATTGTAAGAATAATATTATAAAATCTATTGTTTCAGTCTTAACAGTCTTTTTAAAGATAATAAATGGCTATATGAATCTTTTGGGTGTTCTGTATTGGTGCTAATATATATCCACAAAATCCATTTGAGATCTCTTGTTCCA